ATGAGAATGAACATGAGTTACACGAGATTTTGTAGATGGATGATCTGAGATCAAATCTTGTTCTTTCTTTGGACAGCTCCTGAGAGAGAAGGTTGTGTCGCCGCTGGACTGAGGCATGCATTAGCCACTACAGGTGACCACACAGCCTTTATTTCCCAAGTGAGCCCATTCTGAGCAATAGAGCTCCAGGAGGAAAACTTTGTAAGGAGTGTCGGCGAGGGTCCTGATGTGCTGTGGCTCCAACTGAAGGGAGAGTCCATGAAGTAGAAGTCACTTGGGGAGCCTTTAGCCAGGGGGAGGAAGGAAGTGAACCAGCTGTCTGGCTCTCTTTGTTGTAGACATGCTGCTGGGTTTTTCATAATTTGATTCTCTCATTTAGTCCTCACAGCCAAGGAGTGGTGTGAGTTAAAATCTTCCCTGTCAAGAGTTTGTGGAAGCACTTGTGAGTGAGGCAGGCAGAGTAGAGACCATCAGTGTAGACTTTGCAGTGAGCTGTGTTGCCTTCCTGCTGGATTTTTAATGTTTGTTGAATGAAAAGCTTTAAGTGAGCTGCCTTCTGTACATGAGTGGGCAGCATGTATTGGGGGGGGGGCTGGTGGAGGGCAGGTGGCATTAAGGTAAATAGGACTCTAGCCCTGGTTTGAAGGTCCTAAATTTTAGAAAACAATTGATACATAGATAGGTCCTTTTAAAACAAGGGGTAAGGTGGGGAGATGGGTCAGTAGATACTATGATTGCCTTGAAATCATGAGGCTTTGAGTTCAAATCTCTGGAACCCCTGTAAAAAGCTGGGCATGATGATGTGCACCAGTAATGCCAGAAATGGTGAGGTGAGAAGCAGAGGCAGGCATTTCCCTGGACATCGCTGGCAAGCTAGCCTAGTCGACTTGATGAAGTTCCAGACCAATGAGAGACCTTATCTCAGTTAAGGTTGAAGGTGGGAACACCACCAAGGCTGAACCCTGTCCTTTACATGTACCTGCCCAACATGCACACATAAATATCTATGTGAAGGAACAGATGCTCGGGAGAGAGAAGCTAGGGTGCACTCAGGAGGGAAGTTAGGGAGTGGAGGAATTAGAAACTCAAGGATGCGTGGGGAAGCTTAGCCCTTCAGTGTCTTCCACTTTGGATTTCTGCACATGCTCCTCTTGGACTGCCTCAGTGCTCATCTCCTATGGCTGACAACTCTCCATGTTGTGAGTCCAGATGTGTGTGGGGTGAGGACAGAAAAGGAGAGGCAGGGAGGAGGTAGTGAAGCTCTGTGCTGGTCAGCTCCTGAGGCTTACTGCTGCTTAAACCGTATCTTAAAGTGAGACATTGACCCAGCAGTTAAGAGCACTAACTGCTCTTCCAGAAGATCCAGGTTCGGTTCCCAGAATCCACATGACAGCTCATAATAATCTGTAACTCCAGTACCAGGAGATCTGACCCTCTTTTCTGGCCTCCTCGGGCACCAGGCATGCATGTGGAGAACAGACAAAACATTCATACACATACAATTTTTTAAAAAGTGAAATCTTATGTTTTGAGAGAATTAAAGACCCACATGAAGTTGCTAAAAAACAAAATAGATCCCACAAATATTTTCCAACTTCCCTCAGTAGTGACACCTTGCAGAATTGACAGTGCGGTAGCTCACCCAGGATGTTGATGCTGGTACAGTGAAGATGCAGAGGAATTTCATCACTATGAGGTCACTCCTGCAGGTGTTGATGGCCACACTCACTTCCTGCTGTTCCCAGCACTTTCTTAGCCCTGGACAACTGTTCCTGTTTCCTGTGTCTGTAATGTCATCTCTGAAATGCTCTAAGATGCTCCCATTCAGTATGTGACCTTTAGGGGTCTCTCTTAACCATGTGTATCCATAACTGACTCCTTTTTGTGATGAATAGCATGGTATGGATGTGGCACTGTATTAGGCTACTAGAGCTGTTGTAACAAAGTACTACAGCCCAAATGGCTTAAATAACATAAATTCATTACCTCACTGTTCTAGAGGATAAAACCCAGGATGAGTGCCACTAGAATTTGTTTCTGGTGACACTGTTTTCTTGGCTTGTAGATGCCCCTCTCACTGTGTCCTCACAGGCTTTTCATCTGTACATCTGTGCAAAGAGAACTCTCATGACTCACCCATACAGATGCTGGTCCTATTCAACTAACCCTGTTTCCCATAGGTACCTCTCACCTTTCCTAACCTCTGTAATGCCCTGTTTCTAAACAAAGCCACACTGTAAATTAGGTATTCCACACCTGGATGTTGTGGTGTGGGTCACAGTACAGTCTGTAACAGCCAGTTTGTTTAGCTAGTTACCCACTGAGAAATGTCTGGCTTGTTTCTAGTTTTGGCCTATTTGTGATAACCTATAAATATCTATGAACAGGTTTTTATATGAATGTAGATATCATTTCTCTGGGTTAAGGAGTGTGACTGCTGAGCTGTGTGTCAGTGACTACTCATTTATAGACAGGCTGCCTTCTTAGAAATCAGTAGGACAGTGGGGCTAGAGAGAGGGCTCGGTGGGCCAAGAGCTTGCTGCACTAGTGTAAAGACCTAAGTTCAGATCCTCAGCATCCTTCTAAAGCAAGACATGGTTGTGTGTGTCTGTAGGGTGAGGTGGGCAGAATCCCCAGAAGCTCACAGGCCAGTGAGCCTTGTTTATGCAGCCAGCAAACAAAAGACTCTGTCTTAAATATGGTAGGAAGGGAGGGTTATAGTTTGAGGCTGCTCCCGACCACACCTCTTTAATTCTTCATGTAGAAAGTAGAATGGTTCAGTTGCTATGGAAAGCAGTATGGAAGTGCCATGTAACTAACTGTAGCTACTATTTTTTTTTAGATGAGTCTCACAATATAGCCCTTGCTAGCTTAAAACTTACAATGTAGACCAAGCTGGCCTTGAACTCACAGAGATCCTCTAAGTGTTCCTGTGCCGAGAATCCTATGCCTCCTGAGTGTTGGCATTAAAGATGTGTGCCACCACGCCCAGCTTGACAAATAAATTTATAAAAGGGAAAAAGGAGGGAGAGGCAAAGAGATCAACTGTCTATAGAATGAAAGACACCAGATATAATTGGCATTATTCACAACAGCTGAGACAAGCAGCTCCTCAGGTGTCCTCAGATGAATGAGCAAGCAAAATGTGGCACTCACATGTGCACACAAGTGTGACTCCTGCTCTCCCCACCCATGGAATAGTATGTACAGAACTGATAGGCTCCTCCACAGATGAGCATGATGCTGAGTGGCTTAAGCCAGTCATAGAAAGCACAGATGCTGACATTCCATTTGTATGAGAAGTCAAAACTAGAGATAGTGAATGACAGTCCCAGGGCAGGGGACCAAGGATGAGGAGTGACTGGGTATAGTCTGCTGCAGGATGAAGCAGTTTTGGAGCTAGGACAATAATGGCTGCACACCCTGGTGATTATATGGTGCCACTGGGTTAGACACTTAAAATGGTTAAGGTGGTACATTTTACACTGTACATATTTTACAATAAAATATTTCAAAGAGAAGCCGGGTGATGGTGGCACACGCCTTTGATCCCAACACTCAGGAGGCAGAGACAGGCGGATCTCTGTGAGTTCGAGAACAGCCTGGT